ACGCCTACGCCCCGCTAGGCGTCATGAGGCACCAAGCCTCACTGACAAGAGAACCGGACGGCACGAGGAATGGCAGATTGAGGTATGGCCACCGAGAATTCGAAGACGTGTACTTGCTGCCCCAACCCAAGCTGCCCCAGTCAACCCCCGAGGAGTTCCCTGTGCCCTCTTGTGTGTAAGCAGCGACGCCACCCTCACCAAACTATGCGAACAGGAGACGGTGACAAAGTGGTGGACAAGGAAGAGCTTCTCAGACCGCGAACTGGAGATCGTGAAGGTCGAACATCACCAAATCGTGCAGCGTCCGCTTGACGACTTTGCCCGCCATCTGGGCGTGGCGGCGAATGCGAGTGCTGTGTTTGCTGTGTTTGCCGCCTTCAGGCACCTGCGCCGGCAGGCGAATGCGCATCTGCGACCAGATGCGGTGGCGGGTGCGCAACAAGATCCGTGGTTGGTGGCCGATTGCGACGCGCGCCAGGGGACATGTTTGGAGGTGAGAGTGAGTGAGGCAAATCTGACGTCCATCAATCTGCATCTGCGTTATGTGTCTGGGCAGGGACTCGCGTGAGGATGGCTCTGATCGGCCGTGTGCCCACGGTGATGGTCTTTAGCATCACAGTGGATGGAGACGCACTGTCAGGACCACCACGTGCATAATCAATCGACCGATCGCATGGATATCCACATGCCTGCATTGATGTGTCTTTGATTGATGCAGCTGGAAGGGCTTCACGCCGTGGCCACCTGAGGGTATTCTTCCGATCTACAAACGACGTGCTGGGCGTACTCACCGTCACCCCGCAAAAGCCGGTAAGCAGATACACAGGCAGGCAGTCACATGGGCAGTCATTTAGATGGCATTCAACGTCTCTGTCTGTCTGCCTCCATGTCTTTCTTTCAGCGTGACTCGCCCGACGGACGCCTGATTGCTTTCTTCAACCATGGAGGCACACTCACACTTCCCTTTGAGCAGTGAGCGAGTCATCACAAGAGCGATTTGCCTCACTCATGTGACTTGTACACCTAGTGGCCGTCTGCATGCAGTGACCATTTGGTGGTGGCCGTTCAGCACAGAAGGACCCAGAACATGCCTGCGGCAGACATCGGCGGCACCCGCTTGCTGCTGAGAGGCCAGGGCCCGGTCATCGCCCGCAACACGCCAATCATCGTCCAATGCGGGCGGTACATTGTGGGCTTGGTGTACATGGGTGGTGCGGCGGGATGAGTGAAGGAAAGACGTTTTCGGTGATCTAGCTGGCATGTACTGTACGTCTATGGTGGCGAACTGATGGCTTCTGCGGTCTGCCTGAGGGGTGTCTGCTTCTGAGGTGGTGCGGCGGGTTCCACGCCGGGGGCAGCTGATGTTAGTGTTCCGCTCCGGCAGGTCCCGAGGCCGGTGAGCAGAGACAGGCAGCCAGCCACGTAGACAGCATTCGAAGCAATTGATTCGAAGCTTGTATGTATGTGTGTCAGGAACACATCGCTGCCTTCAGGAACACACCGCGGTCTAAGAGGATGACTGCTTTTCTTGACATGTGTGGCGGTTGAGAATGGACAATCAGTGGCGTGGAAATCCCAACCGGCCTCCGCCAGGTACAGGTGGCATCTGCATGCGCTTCGCTGGTGTGTTGTGACGGCACTCCCTCTCGTCTGTGAGCCCTTTAGGTCGATTGGTCCAGGGGCAGGGCGCCACGACGTACGCACACACGGGATTGGGGTCTCAGTCTGGCTGTGAGTGTGAGGGTGAGTGTGTCTGTCTGTCTGTCTGTGTGCTCTTCGCAGCTCGTCCCCCATACCAACCACCGCCTTTCGTGGCTCAAGTGGAGGGGTGGCAGCAGCAGCAGCAGCAGCAACACTTGGCGCAGCAGCCTACACCAGCACCAGCACCCACACCAGCGCCAGGGCCACAGCATCACACAGTCACAGCGGGTAAGTAGATCCGTGTGTTTCTGTCCATTGCATCCAGGGATGCATGCCATCTCTGTCCGGTGTCTGTCTGCCGGTCAGTGCACCACCCGGTGCCGCCACCACTGCTCACAGGCAGCGCATCACAGGTATACCGGTCGGGAAGCAAGGAGAGAAGCAAGGATGAATGGAACAATATACCTTATTGCCCTTGACTGCTTGCTTTTCTTGACATCATATGCATGTGTGCAGTCGCAGTCCGGCGGAAGTCCGACACATTCAAGTAAGAGGTCCCTACGCGTATGCGTCCACTTGCCCCTCCCGGAGTGTGATACGCATGATGATGGCCGCCCTTTTTGAATTCTTTCGTGCCGTGTCTTTGATGGCCCCGCCCCACCCACACACAGCTGGGGGGAGGAGCAAGGCAGACACATCGCTGTCTCTATTTTATATCGGAGTGGTGGGTATTCCCAGGATGCATGTCTCTGCAGCTCTGAAAGCAGACTGATCGCTGTCTACGTTTTATATTGGACAGTGTTTTGAACCAATGAGTGTTTTGAACCAATGAGCGGTTGTGGATTGCATTTGCTTGCAGCCCTCTGAACGATTGTTCATCCAGTCGATGTCCATCGAGTAGTCACATCCAAGGCAATACAATGACACCTTCAGCCTGTAATGTCAGCGATATAGAACTGCATTCGCAGACCTCACATGCACAAGAAGCAGCCACACGCATCGCGTGATGTGGCCCATGAACTGTCTGTCAGTCTCTGCACCCACTCGATCAAAACCGCCAGCCGCACACTGACATGCCTGCTGGCCTGGCATCCCTCTCCACACCATACCACACCCACACCACACCCACACGTCTGTCTAACTATGTACACGGCAGTTTAGGTGGGTCTCCTGATCTATCTATGACTCGTAGACCCGCCAGTAAGCGAACACGTGCCCGTCCCGGTCATTCCTAACGATGCGGAGGTCCTCGTCGAGGAAGGATATGCGCTTCTCCACCACCGAGCTGCCCTGCTTGATGTTCTCCAGGGAAGATTTCGACTCGTAAGCGGAGTCGCCGTCGAGGAAAGGCAGGAGCCTACTGATGGTGCTGTCGAGCACCTGCAGGAATCCACGACGCAGGCAGGACATAGGAACAGACAGACAGGCAGAAGATGAACACCGGGCGAGTGCTGCTTACCCATATGCCGGTCTGCCTGCATGCCTACCTTTGTCTTTTCGATGGTGACGTTGAGCACATCATCTCTTGCCTCTGGCCCCTCCTGTGGCGCCACGCTGCACTCGGTCGTCATCTTGGACTCGCCCAGACCGAACACACCCACTCTCACCTACAGACAGAGGACGGCAGAAGATATGTTGATGTGTATCAGGGCTGTGTGTGGCATGCTGTGCTGTGTTGTATGGCTGTCGATCCGCCGACTGACTGACCTGGTTGGTGAGTCTCTCCGGTCTGAATCGTTGATTCGGCATGGGGCTACCTTCAATCCTCTGCCTCGACTCTCCAATACTCTTGAACGGTAGCCGGTCGGTCAAGCCGAACAGCGACTCGGCCAGCTGATCTGGACGAGCACTCATGCATCAATGTGTGTCAACGGCACATATGCGTGTCCGTCTGACCCTCACTCACCTGATCCGAAAGTGCGCAGCGGATCCCTGATGCCCTCGAGGGCCTTCCTGAATGCCCAGAAGAAGGGCGATGACCGAGTCACGTCCTCCGACGCATACACCTACATGAGAATGAGAATGCGCACACCATCTGATCTCATCTGATCGGATTCCTTCTCACCAGCCTCCATGTGCCCTTAAGCAGGGGAGAGGTTGCAGGGGCCGGGGTGGGATTGAGAGCTTCAAGGTCAGCCAAGATGGAGTCAAAGGTTGCTCTGCTCGCCCCCTCCAGTGCAAACTGTCCTCGACCCGATGCCGCCGCTGATTCGAGCAGCTCTATCTTGAGATCTTCCAGCGGGTTCGACTCAGGCGCCGACACAGCGCCGCCGGAGAGGGCCACATCCTCTTGAACGGCAGCAGAAGGCAAACGCACTGAAATGAGCGAAACCAAGTCAGTGAATGAATCACCTCTCCTCATCTCTTTGCTCAATCTGTCCACCTGTCATGGTCAGTCTGGCGCCATGATGGTGCCGCCTCAGTGAAGGAACCAGAGACAGCCGCGAGGCAGGATGGAAGGCAGATCCAAGGAAAGGGCAGAAGATCAGAAACACAGACAGCAGTGTCTGTGCAGGCTGCTGCGTTGCAAAAGACCAGATCATTGGGGTTTCTTAGGGCCGGCTGCTGCGTTGCAAAGACCAAATTATGGAGGGGCCGACACAGCAGCAAGCAGTTTCACGGAATTTAGGGTTTGCTGCGCGCTTCTCAATCGGATCTCGCGAGGAGGGAGCGAAGGACGACCATTGCTTTCGCGTCTACATCACCACTTGTCTTCTATCGCAACGCAAAGCACTTTTGTTTTTCTGTAACTCCGTTTTTGCGTATCGCAAGCCGCCCTCCAGTGTCAGTCATGATGTCCCGCGTCCTCGCTTCGGTTGTGCTGGTGGCCCTGGTGGGTGTGGTGACGGCGGGCGAGGGCAGCCTGAGATCTCTGCAGGGGGAGAACTGCTATGTGACAATCTCGAAGGATCCGGTAACGAACACAAGCACCGCACTCAACAGACAGATCTCTCCCTCCCACCCACTCCTCCATGTGACTTGTGTGGTCCCTCTCCCCTCCCCTCTGTGTGCTTGTCTTTCAGGACCTGCGCTCGATGTTCGCCATGATAGCGCTTGCGAGCGGCCAACGTGAGACCCTCGAGACGGCTCCCGATCTGACTGTGTTCGCTCCCATCAACGAGGCCTTCGCCGACGCGCCGCCCACCCTGTCCCAGCAGGCCCGCGACCCCGCCAACGCCGAGCTGCTTAGCACCCTTCTGCAGTACCACACCATGGAGAGCGAGGTGGCGTCAGCGGAGGCCATCGAGGGCGACCTCGCCACTCCTGCCGGCCTGGACATCCCCGTGACGTCGGGCGACGATGGTCCGGTGCTGGGCATCGAGCCCTTCCAGGCCAGAATTGTGGGTGAGCCCGTCAAGGCCAGCAACTGCGTCATCTACAAGATTGACAACGTCCTCATCCCTGAGGCCATCTACGACACCGTCGACCCCAAGGTAACTATCCACGACACACCCACACCCACACCACACCCGCAACACACCCACACACCCAAACTGTCTTGTCTCTCTGTTTGTGCACACGTGTGTGTGTGTGTGTGTGTGCGTTGGCTGACTTCACTTCAGGACCGGCCGATTTTCACCAAGAATGGTTGCCTGTGCAAGTTCGAGTTCGAGCTGAACGGCGAGAAGCTGACCAAGTGCACGACGGTGGGCAACCCCGAGCCCTGGTGCAAGACCCAGCGCGGCTGCGGCGAGGAGTACGGCGGCTACTCCTGGGACGTCTGCGACTGCAATGAGGACGGGAGCGGCGAAGGCAGACCCAACGCATGCTAAGCTGACCCGGCCGGCGACGTGACGAGTCACGTGACTTTTGCTCTGCCTGCCTGCATGTGTGTGTGTGTTGGTGCGTGTGGATGCGTCGATGGATGGGCGCCTTTTTTGTATACGTTCCTTTGCTCCGTACAATCGCATCGCATGGAGGCGTGTGTGGCTGACTGTCTTGTCTGTGTGGGTGGGCACACGGATGGATCCATGCCACACGGGTGGACGATCGGTCCATTCTGGTCGCAGTTTCGTCTTTTCCCCTTCTCCCTCCCTCTCTGCCTGCCTCCCTGCCTGCCCTTATCCCTTCTCTGTCTGTCTGTTGCAAACTATTCAGAGATCCTCACCTTCACCATATTTAAGTATTGACGACGAGCGAGCAAAGCAGCGAGAGGGCGGTCATCGGTTTTGATAAAGCACCGCAGCGGGGGCCTCGAACGCAGTGTGGTCCTCCTGTGTGTGCACTGGGGGGGTGCATGTGTGGGTCTCTTTTCGCCGCCCTCTCACTCGACAGACAAGACAGACAGACCGTTCATTGATCAGTTCATGTCGGCTGACTGAAGCTTTTCTGTTCCCTTCATCGCGTCCTTCCTGACGTTAGCCACGTTGCTGTCGACCCAGCGACGTGGCCCTCGTCTGGCGAGGTGCGAGAGAAGGGGAGAGAGACAGCTTCTTCGCGCGGATCAATAAGCTTCGTTCGTTTATCATAGAGGGGATGGATGGATGGACAGAAGGACTTGAGAGTGAGACTGCAGTGACTGAGTGAAAGCACTTTTTTCGTGTACATTATCGTAATCGTGCAGGAGAGTGGCTGCGTCTCATCCATGTCATCTTAAGGTGACATTAACCACATGCGCCATCCACAGATCCACGGAGGACCGTCGTCCGTGAAGCTGACCCTTCTCCACCATATTCCCACAGTCGCATGCAACCGTTAAGATAACGGGCGATCTACGGCTAAGCTTGCAGACTTCGAGGCGGCAAGGAAGGACAGAGGAGAGCTTCACCGTATCGGCTCAACACTCCCGCACGCCGCCACACACCCGCCCCTCCCCTCCCGTCTTCTTCGCGCGTCGCCGAGTCCGACTGTTGTCAAGCCAACACACGAGGTGGCGGCAGAAGGGCTGTGAGATTGGGGGAAGAGGATATCTCTGCTCGCCGGGCCTCCATCTGCCGAAGATCCAAGGCTGCGACAGGCGTGCACGTGTTGCTGGCTGCTACTTGCGAGGTGTTGGGTGGTGGAGTGTTTGGTTGCAAGGCAACAGGTCTATCTGTCATATGAGTGCAGCGTCCGGTACTGCTATCTGGCTGGTGTCCACGTTTCCCCCCTGTGAGGCCCGACACCCCTATGTTACTACATGAGCACACAAGTGCACTCCACCTCACTATCTGCTGCTGCTACTACTGCTGCTGCTGCTGCCTCTGCTGCGCCTACTGCCGCCCAGCCGTCCGACTCCCCCGCTCCAGCCCTACCACCTGTGCCATCCTCGACGACGCCTGTCGCCCAGCCCATCACCCCCGGGACTCTCACGCCGCCCTTGTCCACACCAACCGCCACAAGCACCAGCGGCATCATTCCTGGCCTCGCTGCGGCCACAGCGTCCACCCCTGTGACATCCCCCCACGCCCAAGTGGCCACCATCAGCACCCAGACAGGCACGTCCACACCTGCACCTAGGTCGCCGGCAGCCACCAGACCTCCCACCGCCACCACCGCCGCCACCACCCCCACCACCGTGCCGTCATCCGCCGCTGCTGCTGCTGTGGGTCCGGGAGGGGGCTTCATTGAGGGGGAGCGTGGGAGCGGCCGGGGGGGTTTGCGAGGCGGCCCTGGGGGTCAGCATGACGAGGGTGTGCAGACGAGCGTGACCCCGACCAACACGCTGTTCTTTCGCAGCCTCAACAGGGCTGTGAGGGAAGACGACCTGGAGAAGCTCGTGGGGCCCTTCTGCGAGGGGGGGCCGCCCAGAATCCTGCTGCAAGCGCAAAAGGGACACGCGTTCGTCCAGCTGCCGGTAGGGACATACACAGAAACCCGACTCAAGGACAAGACAAGCACCATTTCTCTCCCTCTCCACGTGTGTGTGTAGTCTGTGTCAGCGGCCCAGCGTTGCCTGACGTATTTCCAGCAGACGCCCCCGACAGTGAAGGGTACGATGGTGCAGTGCGCGTACTCTGCGCGTGACGTGGCGTCGCAGAAGGAGCTGCTGCAGACGCTGCGGGAGTCGTCACGGGTGCTGCTCGTGCACGTTGTCAACTGCATGTATGAAAGTAAGCTAACCTAAGCTAAGCTGAGCTGTCGGGGGGAGGGGTGGTCATGGGCCCAACGATGGATGGATGGCTCCCTGTCTACTCTGCATGTCAGTGAATATCGACATCCTGCACCAGATCTTCTCGCGATACGGCATCGTGGAAAAGGTCAGTCATCTCACTCACATGGCTGCTCGGCTGCGCTGGGCTGGGGTGGATGGAATGGATGGATGTTTGTGTGCGGTGCAGATCGTGACGTTCACGCGAGACCCGAGTGCGTTTCAGGCGATGGTGCAGTTTGCGAACGCCAAAAACGCCACAGACGCCATGCGGCACCTCGACAACCAAAACATATTCGGAGACGCTAACACGCTTAAGGCGCGCTGAGTGCCCACACACACGCACACGCACATACGCAGAGCATCTGTCCATGTGTTGATGTGTCGGTGGATCAGATTCAGTACTCGACCTTCTCGGAGCTGACGGTGCGCTTCAACAACTCCAAGAGCCGCGACTACAACAACCCCAACCTGCCCCCAGGACCACAGGCCAGGGCACAAGCCGCACAACGTACGTAAACGACACACACACACGGAAACAGGGAGGGATGCAGAGAGGGAAGGTGCGTTAATTTCATCTGTGTGTTGGTGTGATATATGTTTCTGGTTCGTTCAGTGGAGGATGTCCGGCGTGGAGGCCGTGGTCGTGCTGCCGGTCCAGCTGGCGGGTCCACCCTGATGGGCGGCGTGGGGCCTCCTCCCGGCAGGGGAGCACCCCCGCCCCAGGCCATGGCCACTCCCCCAGGCGCCACCACACTGGCCCAGCCATCCCCATTCCCCCCATACCACCCATCGCCAGCTCACCCACATCCGCACCAGCACCCGCACCCCTCCGCCCACGGCCCTCCCTCCTACCCCCCTCTGTCCATCCCCACCATGCCGCCAGTGTCGCTCAAGCCGCTCTCACCTGTGGGCCCACTCTCGCGGCTGCCCATAGGAATGCCTGGCGGTGTGGGGCCGCCCCCTGGTGCTGCTGCTGGGCCGGCGAGGATAGGCCCTGGTCCTGGGATGCCGGGCGGGCCGCACCCCCACGGGCCCCCACAGATGTTGCCTGGTGGGGGTCCGCACATCGAGCCGGGTGGCGCTTTGCCGGGAGGGACGACATGGACGCCTGAGCAGGCGTCGAGGCTCGTCGGGCTGCTCGGCATCCAGTCGGGGAACCTGCAGCAGGTCCGTGAGGCGGGGTTGGGCAAGGTGATTTGGGTGCCATCCGTCTCCTCTCTGCTCCATGTGGCTCTGTGCGTGTTCCTTCAGACGCCAGTGATAATCTGTTACGGGTTGGACGACAGCGTGACGACGTGCGACCACCTGTTCAACCTGTTCTCCTTCTACGGCATCGTGACCCGGGTCAAGATACTCGCCAAGAGGGGCGACACCGCACTCATCCAGTTCGCCGACGCCATATTCGCCATTCTGGCGCACCACTTCCTGCAGGCACGCCATTCACTTTGGCCACTCACACACGATTGTCAGCCAGTCTCTGTGTGTGGTGTGCAGGGCGTGGTGATCCACGGCAAGCTCATCCGAGTGGGCTTCTCCAACAACCAAGAAGTCACGTAAGCTGACCGCACTTACAAAGAATCGACAAATGACAAATTGCGCTTTGCGTGTGTGTGTGGTGGGGGGGTCGTGTAGTGTGCCGGCGAGTTATCCCTCCGGCCGTATGGAGGACCCCAAGACAGTGCGGACGCGGCTCTACACCGCCGAGCAGCAGAGATACGCATTCGGACGGGTGAGTGGGGCGGCGCACAGGCCAGACAGACGACGGCAGGAGAAACACGTTGGTTCCAGCATCCATTGAGATGGCCCCCTGTGTTGTGCTGTGCTGTGCTCTTTGTTTGTGGTGTGGTGCAGACGATGAACGACAGGATATTGCGGAATGCCTGCCATCCGAGCCCCGTGCTGCACGTTGCGAACATCATACCCACTGTGCAGGGTAGGGTCAGCCAGCCAGCCAGCCACCGACACAACCAAGCACTGACAGCCACTTCATCACCTGCTGCTGGTCGCTGTGTGTCACAATCTTGATTTTAATCAGAGGGCGAGTTGACCGATCTGTTTGCGCAGTACGGCACAGTCGGAGGCGTCAGGGTCAGCATCCAGACCGTCATACACACAAGCACGCAGCACAGCACCGTCTCGCAATTACGTGTGTGTGTGTGTATGTGTGTTGGTGGCCTGTGACTGATCTGCGCGTTTGCCAGTTCCTGCCGCAGCGCGAGAAGCAGGAGTCGCGGATGGCACTCGTCAGCATGGCGTCCATCAACGAGGTACGACTCACCCCGGCAAGGCACACATGGCCCGGCTGCCCCTCACTCTCTGGTCCGTGTGTGTGTGGGTGCAGGGTGTGCAAGCTCTCATCCACCTGCACAACTACCGGCTCAGAGACAGGTGGAGCAACAACCAGACACAGAAGGCGTCTCACATCACACACACGTCCCCTCTCTCCTTCAGGCCGCTGAAGGTGTCCTTCTCGAAGCAGAAGTTCGACCGCCGCCCCTCCCAGAGCTCACAAGAGGCGCCGTCCCCCTCCCCACGACCCACACCACCCAACCACTCGGGCGCAGGCCAGGAACAGCAGCAGCAGCAGCAGCAGCAAGGGGCATCTGGTGCGGGAGCATCGTCCACCAGTGGTGGCGGGGCGGCTGCCTCTTCGTCACCATCGGCAGCAGCAGCAGGGGAGGCGTCATAGACAGACATGGGGGGAGGGAGGGAGGGACAAGGGGGGGCTGGCTTGGGTGTAGGTCGGTCAGTCGGTCGGTCCATTTCTGTGTCTGCCTGTGGGCATTTGGATGGTTGGTTGGATGGATGGATGGATGGTCAGACAGGCAGGCATGTGAGTGAGTGCGGGCGGGCGGGATAATATGTCATGGGGGGTGTTTGGTTTACACACACCAATATCATATCATGTACACAGATGAGATGAGATGACGACGGTCAGGTCAGGTCAGCTAGATGGGATCCAAGACGCAAATGCTCCGCCCCCCATTCTACCTTTCTGTCGACCGCCCGACCCGACCGGCATGAGCCAGTCTGTGCGTGTTCGTGCATGTGTATGCGAGCGGGTGGTACGTGGGTGCGTGTGCGCGTCGCTGTGTTCTTTTTTCTTTCATGGCGAGCGAGGCGAGCTTCGTTCCGTCAGCTGAGCTGCACCTGGGTTGCTGACAGGCAGACGGGCAGGTAGCCACGGAACGATGGAAGGAGAAGCGGGCGGGAATGGGGAGTGGTCTGCATGAGACTATGGATGGATGGATGGATGGATCGCAGTCCTGCTCTGCTCGCCGTGGTTGGAGCTTTGGTGCGTGTGAAGTGTGGTGTGGTGTGGTGGTATTTAAGCACACACGGTGGAGGTGGAGACGAAGGAAGGAAGGAGAGAAGAAGCGATGGACGGATGGATGGCTCATGTGTCGACCGATGTACATGCCATGCGTGTGAATGCCTGCCTGACTGTGTGTTCTATGTCGTGTGTGTATTGCCGTCGTGTCCACTATCCACCCATGTGTAGATCCAATTAAGCCAGGAGATTGCATACCCTGCCAGCCAGAGAGATCTCTGCCTGCCTGCCTGCCTGTCCACCGTTGTCTATCTGCGTGTCGACACATCCATCTCGAGTGAGCGCACTTCCTTCCAGTGAGAGTTTTGACCGTTGCCGGGCCGTTTTGTGCATCAGCCAGCCAGTGAGCACCACACACCGACCAAGCATCCATCCCTCACACACTCGCGCAGATCGATCCAACTTTTTTACTTTTGGCCGACCAACCGATGATCGGTGTGGTGGCCTCTCACCCACCCGCCGCCCATCCATCCATGCATTCACTCAGGCAGGCAGGGACTCACTCGTGTGGACGAATGATGCGATCGATAAGGAAGAGCATACGTGAGTGCGTAGTGAATGAATGGGTCTCGGCTCTCATTCAGGCTCTCTCTCCTCTCCACCACCCTCCTCTCTCTAGGCTAATCTCCTCGTCTTGTTTCCTCTCCCCTCTCTTGTGTGGTGTGTTGTGCTGTCTGTCTGGTTCCTCGGTAGCTGACTTGTGTGTCTGTGCTGATACCTGCCGCGCTCGCCTATGCTCTGCTCGTGGAAGAAGAATGAATGGGGCATAGAAGTTCTCTCTCTCTCTTGCCTTCCTCTCTTGGCTTGTCTTGTTGTTTCTTGGCTGGTTGGTCGCTCTGCTACCCACTAGTGCTACTCTGCTGGTTAATGCTATCTAATGCTACGCTGGTTTATAAATACCCAAGGGGGCCCGGGAATGGATGGGTTCTTTCACACACAGGGAGGTTTTCATGGCTGGCCGTGGCGTGGCGTCCACCTCCCTCAGCTGCCATCCGTGTCGTTTTTATAGTGAGAAGACAGATCGATTACGCCTTTTTTTCTTCTCTGCTGCTGCCGTCCCTTGAGAAAGATTCACGCATGCCTTCTAGGAAAGCCAAGCCGCTACTGTCGGGTTGGGAGCGAGGGATGGGGCGGGATGGACTGAGGGGTGGGGCGGGTAGCCGGGCCATCCATCGGTCGACCATCGGTATTTTCTTCCGCCCGTCCGTCCGTACGCCCATACACTCACTCGTCGTCCACTGATGGATGGATGGATCGGACGCACCGTTTGCTGCCGCCGCAGTCAGTCACCAACCAGTGAGTGATGATAGGGAGGGAGAGAGGTAGAGAGAGGTGAGTGTGGAGCCAAGGGGAGGGGGGCTCTTTATCCACGCCGCTCCTCACCGACATGCATACGTGCCCTAACAGAAATACATACATGCCTGCATTCACCTGCCTGTCTTCTATGAGTCAAAGAAACGAACATGCTCTGGGTGTGTGTGTGTGTGTGTGAATGGCTTCGTGACACGAGTGACCGACCATTGGTGTTTATCTTGTCTGTCTGTTTGTCTGTCTCTCTGTCTGTCTGTCTATGTGTTCTGTGTCATCTGGGCAGCTAGCTAGTTTCATGCATACGCACAGGGGGTGCAAGGACATCTCCCACCTCACTCTCCTCGCCTCGCCTCGCCTCTCCTCTCCTCTCCTGCTATGTGCTCCTGCCTTTCCTTCTTCCTTCTCTCTGTCTTCTGCCTGCTGTGCTGACGCGCTTTCTCACGACGAACAATGGACGCAGGCCGGCTGTATGTATGCTGGCTGTGCATTCCGTTGCCCTCCTGTCTGTCGGTCTTGCCTCTCGCCCTTGTGTTGCGCGTGTTGTGAGTGACGGGGGCAGCATTTTCGGGATTCGGGATCATCATCATCCACCTTTTGGCGATCTCTGCGACAACTGAACAACTTTTCAATATTCCTTTCTCCAATACAATATACAAATGAGTTACACAGACAAGTAGTTATCGACTGATCGTCGATCCTTGTTTGTTTGCGTGTGAGCCTCTCTCTCCTCTGCTGCTCTTGCTTGTACTACTACCATACACACTTCCGCGTGCATGGTTTTGGTTGCCCTTAGTCAATGCGACGCGACCGACACAGAGATACACACATGTGTATGTTCCGTCCATGCCATGCATTCACGATGCTTGCTCAAGTTTCGTTGGAAAGAAAGAGTAATCCTCATGATATCCGTTTTTTTTCCAATCAATCTGCTGCTCGGCTGGGTGCTTTCGCCGCACATCCCACTCCACTGACTGTCTCGCTGTGTCTCTGACTGTCGAGGGCAAACGCGCTCATGGCTGTTGGTTGCGCCCCTAGTCCATTCCATGCATGTTTCCCTTGCTTCTGAGTCTTAACACACGGGAAAAAGGGGAGGGGAGGGGATGGTGGTTGATTCTCGATTTTATTACTGTGGTGCCTGGCTTCACTACATGTTCGTTCCGGGCACGCTCATTGATTGAAGGCCTGCAAAAGTGGCGGGCACTCCCTCTCTCCCTCTCTGTTTGTCTATCTACCTGTACCTGCCTCTCTCTCTCTCTCTGGCTTTCTTTCCTGCTTTCTCCTTCTCGACGCACATGTACATGTACATGTACATGTACGTGTGTGACCATAACATGTACATGTACGTGTACGTGTGAGCATATATAACGGATATATACACACATGCGTGTACGTACACTAACTACACATATATGATACACGTGCACACAAACTGACTGGCGATCGGTGTTTTTCATCAGCGATCCGATGGATGGATGGATGCCTGACCTGATGGTGTTGCTGCCTCCTTCTCTCTGTCTTCTCTTTTCTTCTGTTCCTGCTTGCTGTACAGCGATCTGTCTGTCTGTCTGTCTGGTGTACACAACACACGTATGTCAACACGCTCTTCTCTCCTCTTTTCTCCTCTTCTGTCCTGCTGACTGCGTGGCTCCTCTTCGCCTGTCTGTCTGTCTGTCTGTCGTTGGTGTCCGTCTGCAGATATCCGTGAGGGAGAGTGAGAGATACATTCACTCATCCGCTCATTTCTTCATTCCATCAACCAACCATTTCGTTGTGTGTTTTGTTAGCCAGTCAGTCACAGTGTCATTCATCATTCCATTTCCATCCACCCATTTAGGGAGGGGCCGGGCAGGGCATACATGGTGGCGTCTTTTTCCTTCCCTTCGTTCATTCATTTGGGTTTCCTTTTGCTCTGACCATTCCTTTGCATTCGTTTACAGTCCGATGGCACGCACCTTTCGGCCAGTCTGTGTGTCTGTCTGTCTGTCCATGGTGTGAGTGTGGTCTATCAGTGGATGGCATGCTGATCGCAGCTTACCTACGGAGATGTGTGCATGCGGAGAGCAGGCAGGCAGGCAGGCAAGACGGCGCGTGTGGGAGCGATGTGGATGTGTGTGGTGTGTTTCAGTATTTTTGTCCGTGGGTGGGTGTGTGGGTGTGGGTGGGTGGGTGGGTAAGGTCGCTTGCAGCACAGCACGTCCATAGTCCGTCAGTCCGTCTATTCATTCATGTTGGTCAGTGGAACTAGAAACGTGTAGCCATCTATCGACTGTCTGTCTGTCTGTTGCCATCCATCTAAGGGTTCTCCCTGTACCGTACACGGAAAGGAGGAAGGCTTTGAATCAGTCGGCGGATGACGCGCAGAGAAAGAGAAAAAACAGAGTGAGGGAGAGAGCGTAACATGCCACGCACAGCACAGACCGATCCGATTTACAGCATCATGTATGTGTGTGTATCCATGACATGTATGTGTGTCTATGAGTGTGTGTGTGTGTGCGTCTGTGTGTGTGTCCATGTGTGTCTAAGTGTGCAGCGAGACGGTGTGTGGTGTCTGTCCATGTGTGGTCCATCTGTGTGTGGGGGGTATCGGGGACGTAGCGTAGGACGACTGACTGCATACAGACCATCTTCCTGGTGTGCCTCGGGGTGGGGCGGGGCAGGGCAGCAAGGCAACCGGGCAGTCGCCATCGGCCAGCCACTGCTGCCCCGGCCCTCCCCCACACCACGCACCCTACCTAATTCACGTGAATGAAGGTATTTGTCACCAACCATTGCCGTAGGCACAGCACACCATCCATCTCATGTAAGTCAGTTGAAAGAGTCTCGCTCATCTGTCGTTTGTCCGTCCGTCCGGCCAGCATCATCCATCTAACTAAAGCGAACGAATTCCCGCCCCACACCGAGTCGATGCATGGATTCTTCCCGACCATTCTCGCTCACACATTCAGATCACTGTAAGTTTCCTGACCTGGCTGCTGCCCCACTACTCGTCGATGGAGGCCCAACAGCCTGACACACACAGACCACAGAGAGAGATGACGGGAGATGCTCCTGCTCTCTCTCTCAATCAGCCGAGCACCTCACCTGCAGCAGTGTCTTGATGGCAGCCTTGACTTTGTCCATGTCCCGCTTCTTCAAACGCGCCGCAGCGCTCTCCCCTTCGGCTGCTGGGTCGTCGTCTGTGCCGACGGTGTCGAGCAGCCACTTGAGCAGCGATGCCTCGGGGCCGTCAGGGCCGCCGCGGGTGAGCAAATCGCACAGCTCCTTGTTCTTGAGTAGACGGAGACACACAAAGGCAGGGGGCTATGGTTGTGGGATCTGGTGGGGGGGTGGGTATGTTCGCGTGCGTGTGTGCGTGCCTTGTGTCGAGTGAGGCGGCTTTGGGCCCATCGGGTAAGGGCTGCCACCAACGCACTCGCACAACGGAGCTGACAGACGGAGACACGGACACACACATGAGAAGATGGGCAACGCTGTGGTTTGCGTCTGATGTGAGAGTGACCCACCTCTTCAACCAGTCTATCGGGCACTCCTGACGGACCGACACACACACAGAGAGACAGGCACTCATAGGTATTCACCTGGGAAAGATAGACGCACGTGTGTGTTGTCACCGGCGTGGCTGCCATCTGTGTTGTTGATATTGATGTTGCGCTGCAGCCCAGGCGTCACCTGCACCTCCACTGACACACCGACCCCCTGATCCTCATCCTCACCCTGACCACCACCCCCTCCCTCTCCGTCGCCATCAGCCCCTACACCAGCACCAGCACCCTCCCCCGCCACACGCCCCTCCCTCTCCTCCTTCAGACGCCGCCCGTACTTCTCCAACTGTGTCACACACACACACAACAGCAGAAACAACAACACGGGGGCATTTGTGGTGCTGACATTTCGGACCTGATCGCGGATGAACCTAGGGCCCGGCACCAGCTGGTGTGGGAACAGTGGCAGCCGCGTTAGAGGGGACCTCTGGCGTCGATCGAGCTCTTTGAGCAGTGGTGAGAGGTCGTACACGGTGCCGTGGGGCGTGATGACGGGGCGGGAGGGGAAGTTGAGCGTGATGGGGTCGATGTAGTCCCGGTACTGGGGCTCGATCGCCTCGTCCGGCAACGCATCCAAATACGCTGACACACACACACACACACGGACGGAAACATCGGCAAGAAGTGCATTGGGCCGTGTGCGTGTGAGTGGTTCCTCCCTCCCTTGCCTTTGATCTCGGGGTCGATCCTGACGGCCCGCTCATAGGCGGGAGGTGAGGGGGGGCGCCATACGATGCCATTGTTCCGGTTGTGCATCAGGCCTCGGTCGGCCGCAGTGTCCTCGATCATGCCCCACACACGGCGGCGATTCGCGCGGGGGGCCATCCTGCACACATACACACACACACACACACACACACACACAAGAAACCATTGTGTTTGGCTGTGTCTGTGTTGATGGGCACTTTGTGTTCTGACCTGCCGTAGGGCGGTGTCGGCGGGAGAGGTGCCAGCTGCGGGCGGATGCTGTTAGCAACACGAACACCGACACCTGCACACACACACACACACACACACACACGGACAGATGCACAACACACACACCCTCCCTCCCTCCTGACCCACCTGGTGGGGTGCCCGGTGACCTCTGCATCTCCCCGGGCACAGCCGGCAGCGCCTCCCCGCCATTGCCATTGCGATTCCTCTGTGGGGTCTCATACTCGTCGTCTATCTCATTGTCCGGCACGGCACTGCCGGCTGGCGGGGCGTCAGCCAACGGGGGAGGGGAGTTGGACACACTGGGCACACGAACCACTTCTACAGGGCGGTCGCGTCCACCACCTGAGGGCTCGTGGGAGGGAAAGGCAGCACACATGATCATGTGATGTTCCACGTCACCATGTACGTGTGTCGCTTTCGTGTACCTGCCAGTGCATCTGCGACATTGCGTCCCCTCCCCGCTCCCTCCTGCCCGCCCAAGTTGGCCATAGCCAGCCTTCCGATAGCCTGCCTCACGTCACCGCCATGATAACCAATACCAACATGAGGGCCGACACGAGGACGAGCTATGCTCAGCTGCAGGTGAGGGCGGTTCACGTCCGCTGCCGGACGGTCGGCTTCATTGCGAGGGTGCACAGGGGGCTGACTACGCCCACGTGGATGCATCATCGGGGCGCCAACGCGCTGCGGAATTGGAACTCGCAGCGGTGAGCCCTCATGGCGTCGGTGATTGGCAAGAATGGGCCCAGCGGGAAGGACGGGGGGAGGGCTGGGGGGTCGGGGCCTTATCCGCCGATGCATTATGCTGTCACAGAGCTAATACAGCCTCACCAACGCATACATTCGAGCCCTTCCTGCACCAACACAAAATTGATCACAAAGGGCATCAACGGACATCACCAGAAGGCTTCAAGCGCCAATCCTCCTCACCTGAGGCCCGGAGGAAGGCCAGTTCACCTCCATCCATGAGTTTACGTGGTTAGGGCTGGCGAAACGATAGACAGTACGGGGGGGTGTGAACAAAAACCAACGTTCTCCTGCAAATGGCGGCCCTCGGCATCCTTCCCTCAACAGCAAGCCGAGCCGCATGATGTAACGACGTCTTTCTCTTAGTGAGCTGAATGGAAGCTGCGGCTGCGGCAGCCAATGTCAATGGCGCCCAGCCCGCCCCTCAGCCTCCTCCCGCTCATCGCATGCCACCGAGACCTCCACAGCCCCGACGCCAACGCAACAGCAGCGAGCCCCCCAACAACAGAGAGCAACAAGGCCAGGCCGCCCGCACTCCCCGTCCCCGTCGCCCCCGAGCAGCGGCAGCGGCAGCGGCAGCGGCAGCAGCATCATCAGACAACATCTCTGTGCCGCCCCAGCACCATCGTCAGGCCACACCTGAGATTCTGATGGATGCCAGTCGTCGTCTCATGGGCCAAACGCTCGGGCGAGGAGGAGGGGTGACGGGTGTGCGTCAGCGGCTGGAGCGGCTGGATCTGGGCGTGACGCCACCGAGGGGCGGCAGGGGGCGCGGGAGGATCGCAGCACGAGGGGCCGCTGGGAGGTCGGGGGCGCGCGTGAGGGACGGGAGGATGGAGGACGTAGAGATTCGTGACGAGCAGGGAGAGGGGGACGGGCTGGTGGCGGGCGATCGTGACCGTCATGGCGGCGGGGGTTTGCCACCGTTGCCTCCACTCCGAGGCACCCCGGGTCGCCGTCGCGTCACAAATCGTGGAGGCACACACATGTAGGCAAACACACTACACACAATCCATCCATCCGTCCATCCGTGTTTCTATTGGCGGCGTGTTTGTGTGTGCAGCACTCGTGGGGCACCGCGCGGCCGGGGGTTCCTGAGGATGGAGATGCCCAGCGACGGTAGCAGCGATGGATCTGGTCGTGGTCGTGGTCTGGGGATGGGGAGGGGGATGGGACGGCTGAGGATTGGGGGGCGACACGGCGGCGCAAGGATCAGACCACCTGACGCGCCGGCAAGAGAACGTAAGCATAGGAAATGGAAGCAAGGGAAGAAACGAAGAGGACATACACAACGAAACGGCCGGGATGGACGGTTGTTGTGTGTTGTCCCTTTCCTTGTGTCTTTAGCGAATCGGCTGCCTCGTCTGGAGATGCCGCAGCTGGCGGTGCCGGCCAGGGGCATCAGCCCCATGCGCGCATTCAACCGTCTCCCCTCATCCCCTCCCGCCACCCGCGGCAACCAGGACAACGACAACCAAGACGAGGAAAACAACAATAACAACAACGAAGTTGAGCCGCAGAACGACGCCGACAACATGAACCAGCCCCTCCAACCTGCACCAGCGGGCTTCAACCTGGCCGACCTGCCCTCATCTGCGTTCCGCACCCCAGATCAGGGGCCTCTCTGGGGGCCTGGCACCCCTCCCACACCGCCCCCCTTCCGTCGTGCGCGACGCCGTCGTGCGGCGGATGACAGCACGCTCGGTAGGGGCAGGCGCAGCTCGGGAGCACGGTCCAACAGTGAGCCTCGCAACCCTGCCAGGGTGGATCCTGAGGTCAAGGTGAGTGAGTCGAGGATGGAGGGGTCTTTGATCTCTTGTGCTGTGCTTTTGGTCTGGATGGATGGATGGATGGCTGTGTACTATTTTTTGTCGCTCCTCAGAATTTCCTGGATGGTTTGGGTGAGGGTGAGCTGGATGACGAGTGGAAGAAGACCTACCGCTGTCCGATCTCACACTGCTTCCCCGCCTGCCCCGTCGTCACCAAACACGGTGCGGACGGACACACGACACGCACACCAACGAAGCGAACACAAAGTCAAACCTCTCCTCTCCTTACTCAGGCAACACCTACGATCGCGACGCCATCCTCGAGGCGCTCCGCCGCGAGCCCCGTTCCCCCCTGACGCGCGAGCCGCTCAACCGCCAACACCTCTACCCAAATCGTGTGGCAGCGGCCGCCATCGAAGCCTACGGCCGGCAACTGATGCGGCAGAGGGAGGAGGAGCAGGGTAGGGAGCGGGGCCAGCCGGCCGATCTGGGGCCGCGTGAGATGATTGAGGATGGCGTGCAGGCGGGGAGAGAGGGGGAGGGGGACGGTGAGGTGGATGGCGGTGCGGGTATTGGTGTTGGCGTTGGTGGAGACGATAGGATGGAGATGGAGGTGCAGGCGGGGCCCAACATGGTTGACGGTGAGCCGGGGCGACACCAAGTCAAGGCAGGCGGGCCGTTAAGGCGGACGAGACGTTTGCATGCGCCATCCATCCATCTTTTGTGTTGTGTGTGTGTATGTGTGTGTGCGTGTATGTGTCTTTCAGATTCGACACAGACGTTCCCATCGGACATCCTCGAGCTGGTTCCACACACACACACACGCACAAGAAATGGCCCAAAGCCCATGGTTGATGTCTCTCTTGTATGTGTATCCTGTGTCTATCCATCACCACCAGGTGCGTACCAACGAGCAGCTTCGCGAGTTCCTGAAGAAATTCCACCGCGATCGAGCGGCCCGCCGTGAGGTGGCGCGACGGGCCGCTGCGGCTCCGCAGCACATCAAACAACTCATCACCAAACTCAAGAAAGTACCAGGGTACACCATCATTCATCCATCCATCCATCTGATGCACCCGTACATCAGTGTGTGTGCACGTGTGTGTCTCCTTCCCTCTCTGCTTTGTGTGTGGTTGCGTGCAGTGGCGAGCGGATGATGCAGTTCCTGGATGGTGAGGAGGAGAGGCTGAGCCGGCCGCGACGGGGCGACATGGAGAGGGTTCTCGACCAAATCGGGGCAATCGTAGAGGTGCGCACACACACACACACACACACACCGACACGTATACGTATACGTATTGGTCACTCGTGTGGGTGCAGGCTGCGGGCCATCCTGTTGACGGCGCCAACGGAGGGGCGGCCCAGGCCGATGCAGCAGCTGCAGCACCCAACCAGCAGCCGCACTGACATGACACCGTAGATCAATGATACAGATATCAGCCAAGTACTGCTGTTAGATGTGTCCGCATGCGTGTGTGTGAGAAGATGGCGGCCTGTCTGCCCAAGATAGAGGGAGGGGGGAGAGCAGGGCCAGGCAACATGTTGCCGGCTGACTTGACTTCACTCGACTCCACGTGTGGGTGTGTGGGTGTGTTTGTACGTGCGCACCACTGCAAATGAAAAGGACAGCATTCACGTGTCTAACTCCCGTCACGGCAATTGGATTCGACAGATTCACAGGATCCGTATGAGCGTAACAGGTAGAGGGAATCGAATACATACGGTCACATCGGCCACATCAGATGCGGCACTGACTGCATCGCTACTACGCATACACACATAAATGACGCTTCAAATCGGCGTCAGTGCACCCATCCGTCCGTCCGAGAGGCACACTCACTCGCAAAACCCGACCCCACTCGCCGCCAGCCACTTGTCGAACCCCCCCCCCCCCCCCGGCAGTTCGTCAGTCGTCACCTGCCGCCCGTA